GCCCCCACTAGTCACCTGATCCCCCTGCCGCAATGAGACCCAGAACCCAACATTCCACGCCCCAGTACTGGGTCGCGCTCCATCATTTGAAAACCGTTGTAATAGACAATCTCCTACAGCAGGGAGCTGCCTTGGGGCCCCCCCCAGTCACCTGATCCCCCTGCCGCAATGAGACCCAGAACCCAACATTCCACGCCCCAGTACTGGGTCGCGCTCCATCGTTTGAAAACCGTTGTAATAGACAATCTCCTTACCAGCTTTCCTGCCATGCCTCTGAGGGGACAGGGTCTGGGTCTTAAACTAGTCCAACGCTAAGGAATGTTCTTGTGGGGCTTGTTTCTCGCTCGCTCCTTGAAGCAGCCCACCCTGGAATTTTGTTTACAAAACAGAAGTCAGCATCGCGTGGGCCCCCTCCGGCTGAGTTCCCCTCCGGGCTCTGTCCAGCCTGCCGAGGGGACCACTAAGCGAACGTTCCAACGTGACATCACAAAGGTTCTGAACACATCCCTGGGCGATGACATCATAAGCAGCTGTCAGGCACGATGTTCCTATGGAGACCAGCCAAGGCAGGCTCACGCCCCCTAATTTAGGTCACAAGATCTGCAGCACGTCCAGATTTCATGTGGGGATGCTCCATATCCGGGGGGTGTTCCTGAGCTTGCAATTGATGTCAAGGGGCTCCTTGCAAAATTGTGATCTGGATGCAAGTTAGGATCCAAAGTGCAGGGACGTTTGGATGTGGGGGCGGGGGGGCTTTGGTTTGTGGCCATCTCTAGAAATCAAATTATGAATGAACCCAGCTCATTCCAACCCAAGAGTGGAACAGCCACGTGGTTTGATGTTCAGTTCAAATGAGATTAGTGATGGATTTTCAGAGGTGGGCCACGTGGTCCAGAGAGCTGCCACATGGTCCATTCCTTCACCTAGGAATCACAGAGTTTAGAGGCAACTCTTTATGCTGTTGATTAAGCCCTTGTGCCTCAGCTGAAATGTGCAACCAATTTCCTTATGCTACAGTACAATACAAACGACAGCTTCTGAGAAACACAACCCAAGGTACTTAAAAGTTCTCTGGAAATCCATTAGCAGGGGAATAGAATAATAAATTAAAAACGGCCACGCTGGGTCAGCCCAATGGTCCATCTAGCCCAGTATCCTGTCTGCCAACAGTGGCCATAGGTCCTGAGGACACATCAGGAAGCCTTTATTCTACCTAAGAGTCACCCCTTACATTGCTAGATGGCAGAGTTTGTTTTGTTTGGAAGCTCTTTCTCCCATCAAGGAAGGAGCTACATTCTCCTATTCCCCAGCTGGGAGGAAGGAAATAGAAGCAGCTTTCAGGCCATCGGAATGTGGGGAGTTAAATTTATCACCTGCAAAATCAACTGGATTAGAGCTACAGAGAGAAACAGCTGCAGCAGGGTAAGGGGCCTATCTCCAGACTTCTGCTTTAGACCAGATACCAAAAGGATCTTCCGGGGCAAGAGAGGACCCATCTTTCAGGTTAGTGGTTGAAGGGAACTAGGTGCAGTTTTTAAGGCAAGGAACAAATCAAGTGGAACTCTGACTTGTAATCTAGAGCAGGGGTTTGGCAGCTAGGGGCCCTGCGTGCCATTCATCTGCTGCTGACTTGCTGTGTGATGTCATGTAGGTCAGACTGGTGCCGCTCTATACCACAGGGGTAGTGCTACTTCCTTGCTGCATGACAGAGAGACTGAACAGGGCTTTGAGATCATCTGGTGAGAAGCGCTGCTGAAATGCAACAAGGTCATTGAAATGGTCTCTCCAGGGAACACGGGGGCCCCCACCTCCACCTTGCTGTCTCTCTTTGTCTTTGGCACTTTAGGTTCTTCCTTTTCGAGCCTTGAGGTTGTCTGCTGTCCTATTTCATTGCAAGTCTCATGATCTTTGATTGTGATCTTAAAGCCCCAGGTGCCAGAGCCATTGCATCACAAGAGAATTTCAGAGTTTGTAGCCCTCTTGGTTAGAGAGAAAAACTTGAAATCGTACCCTCTGCCGGCCCTGGCATCACTGAATCAAAAAGGTACGTCTACACTGCAACACTATTTCGGGATACCGGGGTATCCTGAAATAGCTATCCTGCGTCTTCACAGCAAGCTTGTTATTTTGAAATATCACAAACTTGCTAATCTGACATCTCTGTAAACCTCTTTCCATGAAGAGTAAGGGATGTTTCAGAATAGCAGGTTATTTTGAAATAAGATGCGCAATTTGAGCTATGCAAATCTTATTTTGAGCGACGGTGCAGTGTGGATGCACCCAAAGGTATTGTTTTAAACCAATCTCATGATTTGGGGTTGCCTGACAGGAGCCCTGTAAGCCTGACCACAAAAAAGCAGATAGTTGTACTCAGAAAGGAGGAAAGCAATTGTACAAACTCCTGAAGCAAACGGGGATCTCTGTTTCCCAACTTTCTGGTTCCTCCTCTCTTTCTAGCTTGGCCAGAGGCAGATTCCTCAACAGTCTAGCCAAAGTACACCTCCCTCATGTCAGAGTTTGCAGCCTAGTGGATTTACCGGAAAGCACCTCCCAGAATGCAAACAAACAAGAGCTGCATGAGCTACCAGCTGCCTGCAGCAGATGCAATGCCTAGTGGGTAGAACATTGGACTAGAGCACAGGAGACATGAGGTCTGCCTTTGGATATATCACTAAAACACATCCTGAAACACTGGTCGCCTATGGAAAGTGCTTTGCGATCTGCAGACACACAGTGCTCTGTAAGAAGCGTTATTTATTGGGATGCTGCCCTCTGAGTCGAGTGTAATTTGCTTCAGCGTCTATACTGCAGCTCCTGCTTCTTTTGTGGCCTTTTAACATGCTTACAAAAAACGCGTAAAAAAATCCAGGTAATGCCCAATGAGCTGGCAAAGAAGCTGAATCATTTGAGTCCTGCATGGATACAAAATGAGTATCTGAATTGGATCTGTGATCTGCAATCCACAAACATGGTCTGTGGATTAGCCACCGATTTGAAATAATGCCCAGAATGACATTGATTCCCTCCATGTTCCTTAGTCCATATGCCCCTTTAGGGTTACAAAGTGAGCCTGTTGACAAGCCCTAGCCAAGGACCCCCCTATGGCGGGGTAGACAAGACAGCCTCTGTGGGCTGGATTCAGCCCCCCCAAGCCTCCTGGCCCCGCCCCTTCTGCTGAGGTCCTGCCCCTTCCAGGGTGGCTTGCAACCACTTCAGAAATGTGTGAGTTACCAGTGCTCGGGTCTCATGGTGTGGGGAAGGATCCCTGTCCCTATCTCAATGGGGCGCTCCGATACTGGGCTCCACTGCTGCCCACCTCTGTGAGATTTCCCTTCTCTAGCTTGCTGGGTTGGCTGCAAAATTCCATCTGCACCCACATGTCTCCAGTTGGTGACAGTGAGTATGTGGGGGTAGCAGGCAGGGGGCCCTCCGAGCAACAGGACAAGCTCTGCTGAATCAGCCTAGGTCCCTGAGGAAGTCATAGGAACTGCTGTCCTGAATGGCCCTTCCTGCCCAAGCTTGGACTTCAGATGTTAATAAATGACTCTGTGATCCTAGGCAATAAAGTACACACCAGGGCTGGCCTTCAAGGTCCAGAGACCATCACTGCCTCCTCTGCTCAGATTACTGGAATATTCCACAAACACAACATGTAACCATATTTACAGGAACTGTATCTCTCAGGTACGGGAGCTGGAATATCAGTCCCAATAATCCTGGCTGGAAACCTCTTGCAGATGCAGTTGTAAGCCGTGTTCCTGTTCACTGTTCTTAATTGGAGCTCCACCCCAGGGGTGGCTGCATTTTGGGAGCATGGGAAGTGTTTCCCCTGCAGTTTGTGAGAAGTGCTCGGGGAGCCTTGGAAGTGAAAATCCCTACATAAGTCTGGGACGCTGGTTCTGTACAATGTCCCAAAGGAAACCCTGAATTCCAGCCATTATGCAGTACTGTAATTTGCTGATTCAGAACTAACTACCAGTTTGCACAGCCAGCTTTGAAAGTATTTCTTTTCCACATTAAGCCCTTTGTTGTCAGCCCTGACTCTCTCTCCCACACTCACCACTTATCTTAGTTTTTCAGGGCTGGAAAACTAAATTAAACTGCATCTCCCAATGCTCTAGAGCACGGGGGATCAGAGCATGCATTGGAATTGTTTGGCCAACACCCAGGGCACTTTCTGTTTTGTTTTTTGGCCTGGGCAGCGAAACTAGCAGCCTGTTACACTGAGTCTTTCCTCTGGCCTTTCTACATGCTTGGCAAGGACATGAGGCTGGGATTATTATCACTCTTTCACTAATAAACATGCGTCAATGTTATAAACACCTTTTATCCAGAGATCTCTAAGCACTTTACAAAAGTAAGTCAGTGCTATTATCCTCATGGGGAAACTGAGGCATGGAACTGGAAAACTGATTTGCCCAGTGGAACCCAAGAGGCCTAACTCCTAGCCCAATGCTAGCCATAGGACCATGCTTGTACCCTCAGACAGACAGACTACTAAAATGGAAAGTCATTTACCCAGTGAGTCTGGAGCTAAATCCTATTTAGTTCTAGATTGTTGCTTTTAGTATTATTTATGTTCAGGCCTGGCAGAATTTGAATTTTATTTTTTATAATTTTGATGGCTGATACAGATTTTTATTTTTAAGCTTTTTTCCAATCATAATTTTCACCTTTGTGGGACTACTAAAATGGAAAGTGAGTCAGAGAAGAGAAGGGAGGTCAGACAATTATTTAATGACAATAGACACTGAGATACAAAAGTATAAAGCTTTATAACTGTTGAAACACAAAGGGCACGTCTGGACTGGCAAGATTTTGCACAAAAGCAGCTGCTTTTGCACAAAATCTTGCCAGCTGTCTAAACTGGCCGCGAGAATTTGCGCAAGAACAATGACAATCTAATGTAAGAGTGTCAGTGTTCTTGCGCAAGAACTCTGACGCTCCAGCTCAGGAAAAAGCCCTCTTGCGCAAAAGGGCCAGTGTAGACAGGGACAGGAATTTTTTGTGTAAGAAAGCCTTGATGGCGACAGGGACAGGAATTTTTTGCGTAAGAAAGCCTTGATGGTGAAAATGGCCCCTGGAGCTTTCTTGCGCAAAACCGCATCTATACTGGGCACAGATGCTTTTGCGCAAAAGCAAATATTTTGCGCAAAGGCACTTGCCAATCTAGATGCTCTTTTGCAGAAATACTTTTAACGGAAAAACTTTTCCGTTAAAAGTATTTCCGCAAAATCATGCCAGTCTATACGCAGGCAAACTGTCAACATCACATATCAAAATATACAAGTGACTATCCTGAAGTCAAACTCAAATCAGCATTTTTCTTACTTTGCCTATCTGTAAATTTCTATTTTCCTCAATGGAAATACTTTTGATTGGTTTGTAGGTGTGCAGTGAAATTGACAATTTCTGACAAAAATCTAAACTAGCCTACTTATGTTGTGTGGCAGTGGTTGAAATCAGGATCCTGTTGTGCTACACACTAT